CCAAGGCCCTGTGGCATCTCAGCTGGCAGGGCTATGTGGCAGGGCATCTCCCAGGCAAGAGTAGAAACCACCAGGGATTCTACATGTATGGAAGGGGAGGCCCAGGGAGGACAGCAGGACAAATCGGCTTCCCCGGCCAACCAGGAGAGAGAGAGAGAGTTCACATGTTTGGGAAGCAGAAGATGAGCTAGGCCTGAGAATTGGCCTCCAAGTGTGACCAGGGGTCAGAACTCACAGTTTCAGGACTGTTTAGAACGAGGTATGACTTTTGACTAGTCCTGGCCAGTTAACTCAAACGTGAGAGAAGTATCTGGGGAACCCTGAAGGACTCCCGATGAAAGCAAAATGTGTTTCCCTTTACTTTTATTTTACTCCATGGCTATTAACTTGTTTCTTTGCTCATCCATATATTTGAGATGGCATGTCACTGTGTTCCCAGCCTGGTCTCCATCTTCTGGGCTTAAGCAATCCTCCTGCCCAGCTTCCCTGAGTGCTGCATCTTATAGGCAAGCCCCGCCCTGCCTAGTACACATATGGGGAAAAGAGGACTTTTATACCGACTTTGTATTTTAAATTTATTTATTGTTTTAGCAAGCTTATGCCACGTCACACATATGGAGATCATAGGACAATTTCCATGAGTCTCTTCTCTCCTTTCAGCATGTGGGTTCCAGGGATCAAACTCAGGTTGTCAGGTTTGGTCACAAGTGACTTTACCTTTCATCTTGCCAGCACCAAATGTATTAAAGAAAAAAAAAAAACCCAATACACAAGAAAAGAGCATATAAAATAACCAAATGTTCTCAATTTATTTGCAGGCACAGCCAAAGTCCCAGTTTTGGGCACAGCCTGTCTTTTTCTGCTTTTGACATCAACAAACAGCTCCATCAGCCCGGCCCCAGGCAGACCTCGCCCTGGTTATGCTCTTCATGGTTTGGAGAGCCGGGAGGTCTTTCTTCCAGTCTTTTGCTGGGAACTCTCAGGGTCTGAGAACGAATGTTGGGTTGCCTCCTAACTAGGTACTCAAGCAGGGAGGAAGTCCCCTCACCAGCAGTAGGGCAGCAGAAGGGCAGCAGGAGCAGCCAGAGGGAAAATCTTCAAGTGACTAGATAGGTGTCTAGGACATGCAGGAAGGTCCCTGAGGCAGGCGATTTCCTGTCCCTGTGATGTTCTCAAGTCCCATTGCAGGCCCCCCTCTTTGTGACAGCAGCCAGCCTCTTGAGGTTATGGTACTTCAGACACAGCAGCCCACAGTCCTGAAGCACCCGTCAAACTGCCAGTGAACTTCTCAGCTGGGCCACTCCCTGAAGAAGGGTTTAGGGATATTTTCCAGGGAAATTTCTCTAATGTGTCAATCTTCCAAAGGCCAAGAACCCATTAACTAATAGACATTTCAACCGAATTTGATTTTCTATTTTTATAGCCCCCAGGTATCTTTGAGCTCACAGCCATCCTTCAGCCTCAGCCTCTTGAGGGCTGGGATTACAATCATGTGCTGAACTATTTAAAACATAAACTTAAAAGCATTCTCCCCAGCTCCCTTCCATGTTCTTTACATTAACTACGGAATCTTAATTGGAAAATCGTTGATCTTAAAGAATATAGCTGGAAACTGCAGCCTTCAAATGCCCCCTTATTATGATATAATGGCTGTCCTATGCATGTCGGAGATCATCTAGGCTTGGGTAGAATGTATGGGGAAAAAAATTATTGAGTTCAGCTTTGGAAAAATACAGTCTAAGAAAAAGTAAAATTCCCTCTGTTTATGAGAAAAGAAACTCAAAAATACACAACTCCTGGCTCAAGTTTTCATTAGAAATTATTAATAGTTCAGGCTCAGCATCCCTTTCATGACAGCACAAGATAGTATTTTTTAAATCATCCAAAGTACCTTTGATCTATGCTTTCTATACACCCCAGGGAATAGCTGTGCACTTCTGAAGAGCTGTAATTCTGGGGCTTGTCAGCCCTTTCATTAAGGCTCAGAGGGTGAATTGGAATCCAGGTCTCTTTCACATAAATCGTCTTTGTTTTTCACAACTCTAACTGATCTTAAAGGAGGTATATTTCATGTAGTGTAAGTCTCTAGAATATGCTAGGCTTTCTACCAATGACTTGTGAAAAAGTGTGGTGGGGCCTGCATCAAAAGTTAGATGGGCTGTGTAAGGGGTCCTAGCACCTCTGTGGATGTTGGCCTAAGATCCCGTATGGTGCCTGGAGGACTCCAGCCACTCAGTAAGAAGTGGCCTGAATCTGTTATCAAATAACACAGGAATCAAAGGCATGTCTGTCCAAGGCAGGGCCTTGTTGGGGACCTGGTGAAGCCACAAGGGTCACATTTGAGAGCTGAGAAGGTAAAGCCCAGAAGCCTTTCTCTGGCAGAAGGAGGCAGTCACCTCCATGGAGACAGCTCATCCATCTCTTTACATCTATCTACTCCTACCCTTCGAGTGGGTGACTTCTCCTACAGCACCTTAGGTACCTCACTGGCCTTGGCCTTGGTCAACTCTGCTTGTAGAACCATCCTAGCTACATGGGGAGTGACCTCACTGTAGTTGGACCTTTTCTTCGGGACCACCAGCTCCCCAGTAATGGCACAGAGACTTATTAATTTTAAAAGCTTGGCCAGAGCTTAGGCCTGTTGCTAAGTAGCTCTTAAACTTAGATGAACCCATTTCTATTAATCTATGTATAGCCACGTCTCTCATGGCTTTACCTGTCCTCCAGCATGTCTTGTTCCTATGTGTCTCCTGGAAACCCTGTCTTTCTTCTTCCCAGTGTCCTTTGTGTCTGGCTGTCCCTCCTATAGCTCCAGCCTAGCTAATAGCCATTTACCTTTTTACTAAGCCAATCAGAAGGAGCCTTGTCAAAGATATATCTTCACAGTGTACAAAAAGATTATTCCACAACACCTCACGTCCTGATGTTTGCCTTTTCACAAGGACTGTCACCTTAAATTGTCTCCCCAGGAGACTCTGGGTGGGGCTCTGTCTGGTTCTGCTACTCATCACATTCCTGGTGGCCAGTCCAAGAGGCAGGGGTGGGCACACTAAACATGGCCTTGGGCAGGGTGAAGAGAAAGGAAGGGAAGTTGAAGGAAGGACAGGAGAGGAGACAGAAGATGGGCAGAAGGACAGAAGGACAGAGAGGATGGGCAGAACACAAGGCTGGGCTGTCTACACTGAGGGCTTATATTTTAATGCAGTGGTTCTCAACCTTCCTGATACTGCACCGCTTTAATACAGTTAGTTCCTCATGTTGTGGTGACCCCCAACCTTAAAATAATTTTCATTGCTACATCATAACTGTAATTTTGCTACCATTATAATCATAATGTAAATATCTGTGTTTCCTGGCCCCAAGGAAAGGATCAATGCCCCGCCCCCCCAAACAGGGTCTCAAACTGTTCTAATGCAAAGAGCTGGCCACAGCCTGTGCTGACTGGACAGAGTTTCTTCTTCCATTGGCCCTCTGCTGCCTATTCTCTTCTTTCATCATTTTGAATTGTCATGTGTATGGATGTTTTGCCTGCATGCATGTCTAGGCACCACATGTGTGCAGTATCTGCAGAGGCCAGAAGAGGGCGTCTGAGCCCCTGGAACTGAACTGGAGTTAGAGATGGCTGTGGGCTACCGTGCGGCACCTGAGCCTGGAAGAGCAGTCAGTGCTCTTAACTGCCTGCGGACTTAACTTCGGAGTTGTCACTTCAGTCCTCTGTTTACCTTATTAATGTCCCTTAAAGCAGAAGCAACAGCAATGCCTAGAGCTGCCCAAAGGAACAAAACTGCCATCATATTTTATTAAAAATAAACCATCTCGGACCCTAGCATGGAATGCAGGAGTCTGACATGCTTACCTGCAGCTTTATGGCCCAGCTTTGTCAAAGTGAAGGGCTTTGTGGACCCACTGGTACTTGGACCACACTGTCACTGTGCTGGACAGCCCAGATCTACCTGGGGAGGGAAGAACTGTGCAGTCAGTATGTTGGACAGTTGCTAGAACACAAAATCTGCCCAGCCAGGCAGAAGACCTCACCAAGCAAGCAGGGCATTCAGTAAACAGTCTGAAAGGTTCTACCTTAGTCCCGGGCAAGAGCCACGCAGGAGCCAAGGCTGTGCTACACCTTCCCTGAAAAACGTTAAGACGAGGCTCAACTAGATCAGCCTGACTCAAAAAAATCTCACGCCAGCCACTGTCCATATGCATACAGGGTACATCTTTTCATTTGGAGGGTGTGCTGGCTAGTTTTATGTCAACTTGAGACAAGCTAAAGTTATCTGAGAGGAAGGAACCTCAATAAGAAAATGCCTCCACAAGATCGGGCTGTAGGGAAACCTGTGGAGCGTTTTTATAATCAGTGATTGATGTGGGCAGACCCAGCCGGTTGTGGGCAATGCCATCCCTGGGCTGGTGGTCCTGGGTTATATAAGAAAGCAGGATGATCAAGCCATAGGGGACAAACTAGCAAGCAGAACTCCCTAGCCTCTGCATCAGCTGCCCTGTGTTACTTCCTGTCCTGACTTCCTTCAATGATGGACTACAATGCAGAAGTGTAAGCCAAATAGATACCTTTCTTCCCAACTTGCTTTTTTTTTTTTTTTTTGGTCATGGTGTTTCATCACAGCAATAGTTATCCTAACTGAGACAGAGGGATTTGGGGAGCCAGATCCAAAGTCCTGGGTCTGCCATTCTTCAAAGCTTTGCTCATTTTCTCCTTGATCTTGGATAATTACAAGATACAGACTAGGGTAGGGAGAGAGAGAGAGAGAGAGAGAGAGAGAGAGAGAGAGAGAGAGAGAGAGAGAGAGAGACGATAGGGACTGAAACAGAGAAGTGAGGCAGAGACAGAGACCCAAGAGCTACACAGTTCGAGGGCACATGTCTCCCTAGAGTTTCAGTCTCTAGTCATATTGGAGGAAGTGAAAATGATTTCACAGCCTCTGGCCCTGTATAGTAAGCAACAAGAAGGCAGAGGCTGGACTCCACCTTACAGGACTGGACCTCCCTGAGGGTCTACACACCCTGAGGTGAGCTGGTCTTGGAGATACAGTTTTGTTTGTGGTGTGGGAGTCTCCACTCTTTCCCTTCCTGCAGCCAAAAAGAGAACCGTGTTTCCCCCGCAACCATGGAAACATCTCCAGAGAACAGTTATATTGTTTTGAAGTGTTTTGAAATCTTATCAATGGTTCCCAAGGAAACACAAGATGATGAATAGTAGCTAGGTAGGTTCGAGAAGCAGGGGGGTTCGGGGTCAACAGGCTGAATTCACAGGACACAGGCAGTTGGCTGCTTGCAGAGCTGGAGACACTTTAGTTGGGATGTTTTAATTCTGTTGCCCATTCAGCTTTCCCCACAGTCACCTCTCAGGGAGAAATAGCATTGCTAGGATCTCAGTTAAAGAACTCTTACAGTGTTTGAAAATGATGGAACCTGGGTCTGGAGAGATGGCTCATCAGCAGTTAAGAGCATGTCTTGTTCCAACAGAGGACCTGAGTTTGGGTTCTAGCACTGTGTCAGGTGACTCATGACCACCTGTAACTCCAGCTCCAAGGGATCCTATGCTTCTGACCTCCAAGGACACTAGCACTCATGTACACACACACACACACACACACACACACACACACACACACAAAAATAAAATCTTTTTACAATAGTGGGATTTGCATGAATGTTAATTGATCTCCTGTGTTATTACATTTAGGGAAAATACGGCTGCCAAACTTTGGTCACAATAGTTTGTCAACCAAACACAGCTGCAGAGTCCTCATGGGATAATGACAGTCATCCCAGAGAGAAATTGCCAAAGCCTGGAAGCTTCTGCCAGCCACCCTCAATAGGCACAGTTGTGCAGTAACCAGTTTAAAATGCTCGGTAAGTCTGAACACCCAGTGGACATTGGCTTCGGCATCACTTGGATGTATGTCCCTGAGAGGCTAGGTGCTTCAGGCTTGTTCCTGTGTGTGGGCTACAGTGGTGAGACATTAAAGACATGGGGACCAGTGAAAGGTAATTAGGTCATGGCTTTTCAAGCTTCGTGAATGGATTAAGTCTGTCTGTTGGACTGGATTAGTTCTGGAGGAAATGGGTTGATATAATCAGGTTTGGCACCTGCCCTGAATCCCTTTTCCAAACGCATTCCCACAACCACGAGACCATCTGCTGTGAGGCCATCTGCTATGACCCTGCTGTAGTCAACCAGATGCTGTCACTGTGCTCTTGGAACTTGAGAACAGTGAGCCAAATAAACTCGTTTTCTATGTAATGAACCTAGCCTTGGGGACTTTGTTATAGCAACAGAAAACATACCAGGGGTATAGTACTTTCCATCGTGATGATAAAATATCTGAGAACAACTTAAGAGGAGAAGTATTCATTTTGATTCATGGTCTCAAAGGTTTCAATTCATGGTCTCTTGCTCTGTTGCTTCTAGACCCACCATGGTGAGGCGGAGCTCCATGTCCAAGGGTCCATGGTAGAGCAAAGCAACTCACCTTGTGGTGGGCTGGAGACAGGGAGTGACAGAAAGGGGTCAGGGTAAGGCTCATCCCTAATGCATATCCTGGTGACCCAGTTCCTTTGACCAAAGCCAACTCTTCATTTCCATCAATCTATGAGAGGACCCAAACTTGAATCTCATCACCCACATTGGATGGCTCACACCACCTATAACTTCTGCTCAAGTGTGATCTAATGCCATCTCCTGACTTCTGAGGGTACCTGCACTCATAACACACACACACACACACACACACACACACACACCACTATCTATCATGACCAAAGTTTGGCATTATGTCATCGGGCAGACCCCAGGGGCTCATTGGCCAACTGACCTCGGCTCCTTGGTGAACTCTCGGCCAATAGGAGACTGTCTGAAGAAGAACAAGAAAGCAGGGCCTGGGAAATGACTCCGTGAATAAGGTACTTGTCTCATAGTGTGAGGACCTGACCCCTACCCCATGTAAATACCCAGTAGGCTTGGTGACCACTTGTAATTCCAGAACTTGTTTAAGTCAGGGATCCCTGGAGAATTTGGCTAGCTACATTGGATGGGAGAGTCAACCTCTGGGATCATTTCAGAGACTTGTCTCAATGAATAAGCTGGAGAGCGACCGAGGGAGACTCAGAATATCAGCCTAAGGCCATTCATGTGCACACATGTGCATCAGTGCCATACACAACACACACACACACACACACACACAGCACCCGAGGAACCACACCTGAGGTTGTCATCTGGCCTTCACAGATGTGCATATCCATGATCTCTCTTCCCTTCCCTGCCCCTGTCCCTCTCCCTGTCTCTTACACACACACACACACACACACACACACACACACACACACACAGCCTCAGCATTCTTCACTTCCCCAAAGCCTCAGCATCTGGGAAGCAAGGCTGTAGCCCTCAACACATAACCCAATCAGGCTGGACATTCAGCACCCGCTTTGAATTTTGATCTATTGAACTCACAAGGTGCTCCACCAGCTCGTCACCAAACAACATTTTTATTTTCCCAGTTTGCCCAGAACCTACCTCAGGGTTCATCCCCACCCTTATTTAAGATTGCTTAGAAGAACTGTGGAGAAAAGTCCGAGAACTCACCCTCTGGAAGTCTGGCCCAGTTTTCATCACATCCATCTCTTCAACTGAAGTTAAAATCTCCATTCTAATGCCCTGGGAGATAGTCCCCAAGTGCTTTCTGCAAAGACACTCTCTTCCACTTTGATTTATTTGTTATTTATTAGCTTTTGATCAGAAGCAGATGCGGGGGGAGGAAGCCGTCTATCATATTGATATCACCCCACAGGCATACTGCAATTCATTGGGCTTTGGGGGTTTTCTCTGGACTCTTCCCAGAGAGAGACATCTTAAGACAAGGGAGCTGCAAAGACACGCTGAGTATTGCTTGATGTCTTTCTTTTCAGAAGCAGCAGTGGGGTGGCCCTTACAAAAATAGTTTGCCAGTTGTAAGAATGGATGACTGCGTACATGTATAGGTGTTGGGAAATGTCTGTATGGGAAAGGAGAAGTGAACTTACAGGGCTGTGGGGATCTGAGGGTGACCCAACAGACACTGGATTGAAGGTAAAGGCTTCACCAGGTAGATACATGACTTTAAAAAATGTATTTCTTGTCTCCCTAGTGGCACCAGACAGTAATGAGAACCCCGAGTTTGAGTTCTAAACACCAGTCTCTACCAAGAGAGAAGTGACAGGTCCAGACCACCGTGAGAGATGGGACAAAGTCAGCTCGAGTGTCTTCCAATCTCAGAATAAGGATGTGCCCAAAGACAATGTAGAAGCATGCAAGAATGGCTGACAAGAGAGTGCTCCTGCCGGCTAAATGTGGCACAATTTGAATGTATGCACAGATCTAAAATAATACCTTAGAAAGAGGATGGAGAGGCAGGCTGTCTTTATGAAATGGTACCAATTAACAAAAAGAAGGAGAGACCTCAAACTGTCATGCTTCATCGTGGCAGGGCAGCTACTATTCAGTGAGGATGGAAAGCTGTTGGGAGCCACTTCTGAACTTTTGATTGCTCATGGTGGGGGGCAGGGGGAGGGGGAGGCAGGAAGCCCACCTTTATTAATACTAACATTGTCACCATTGATGATATGAACTCTCATATGTTCACAGTAAGTGTCCTCCAGGCCCAGGGGCGCCCGGCACCTATCTCTGGAGCCCAAGCAGACTTCCCAAGAGAGTTACTTGATGTCTCCCCATCCCCCTATCTCGTCCCTGCTGGCCCTGGAGGAGGGGGTCATATGTGACCTCAGGACCTCTGCAGCAACTTCCTTAATTGCTGGATTCTGTTACTTGTGCCGTTTGGACATGGCTGCTGCTGGTCTTTTGGAATGGTACTGAGCACACATGAACTAGGAGGCTTGTGAGTTCTGGAGAGCACACTGTGACTGTGCAAGTGTCCTGGAGAAAGTCAGAGCGATCTGGTGTACATTACTTCTGGTTCAAGACTTGCCAGAGCTCCTGGGATCCACAGTAATTATGCATTGTTAAACAACCCACAGCAAGCTTCATCAGGCTTCTGTTTCTACTCATCACCCTTCCCAAACCACTCTCAACCCAGGAAATTTTTGTGTGACCCCAGATAGTTAGATATACTTGCATAGTCACACAGATCATACGATTACTAATAATGTATCATAAAGAAATTTACTACCTGGGCATGGTGGTGCACGCCTTTAATCTGAGCATTTGGGAGGCAGAGGCACGTGGATTTCTTTTAAATCAAATCAAATCTATATAGTGAGTTCCATGCCAGCCAGGACTGCATAGTGAGACTCCGTGTCTCAAAATAAAAATAAAGAAAAAATAAAATTCTTAAATCAAGGCCAATCAAATCTATATAGTGAGTTCCATGCCAGCCAGGACGCATAGTGAGACTCCGTGTCTCAAAATAAAAATAAAGAAAAAATAAAATTTAATATCCTTATTTTTACTTTGTTACTTGCCCCTTTGAACATAAATAAAATATTGGCTGATAAGGGATACATGACTAGCCAGATCAGTATTTTTGTGGGGGGAGCAGCCTGTGCCAGAAAACACCTCAACAGAAAATATGCTACAGTTGCAAAGGCTATACTCTCTGGATGTCGGACTTGTCCCAAACTGTCCAACACGCGACACATGCAAACATAGCTTGCACATCTGCTCTGTGGACTTGCAACTGTAAACTGCTTTCTCAAACATACCTTCAATTTATTCTCTCAACCCTGCGAGTGAAGCTAGGCAGGAAGTTCAGTGGGAATGCTGTACTGAGTTACATGATCCAAAAAATGCTTTCTCTCTGTTCAGTCAAACCCTCAGGCTAGCCTGAGGCTCCCAGGGAAGCAAAATACAAAAATGAAATGAATCACAGAGCAGGCGGGATTGACTATCAAAAGTCAGCACAAAGCAACCTTGAGCAGCTATGGACAAAAAAAAAAAAAAAATAAAAAAATAAACAAAGAAGTCAAATCAAATGGACTCAGAGCCATGCCTCACACTGCATCACAGACTTGAATCTAAAACAGAAATCTTTCAGATGAAGGAAGGAGAGGAGAGGGCTGGTCCAAGTTGTCTTGTTAGACTTGACACCCAAAGCAGATTCAGAAAAGGGAAAATTCAGCCCACTGGAACACAAAGAGCATTGCATTTGTTTGGGGCTAATTAGGGTTGCAGTCTAGGAAAACACAGGCTCCAGCTGCCTAGAAAAACATGCTCTGTGTTTAGCTTTGAGCCTCAAGGGGCTGGCAATGACATCATCCATTAGTCAGGAATTTAAAGTTAAGCTGTTAAGAAGAGCTTGGGGATAGCTTAGCCTCTGGCTCACTTGGTGGGTGGGAGTGCTGTGGGAGGGGGCTAGGGGATGTCAGCAGTACTTCCAGGGTGAGCTTGCTTCTGGGTGGGTGTGCCCAATGGCCTCCAGACACCTGTTGAATTGCCCGAACCAAAGTGCCTCCATTTTGAATTCCTTTTTCTTGAGACTCCTTCCAGACAGACTCCTTCTGTTCCACCATCTATCTGGTGTATGGAATTGGCTGCCAGCCAGCCTGATGATGCAGCCCTGTCACCCCAGCAACTGGGAAGTTGAGATAGGAGGGGATTATTAAATTCAAAACCAGCCCAGGTTTGAGTGAGTTAAAGGCCTGCCTGGACAGCTTCTGAAGGCCTCATCTTAAGATTAAAAAAAAAAAAAGGAAAAAAGAGTGTGTTAGCTAGTGTTATGTCAACTTGACACAAGCTAGAGTCATTTTGGAAGAGGGAAGAGACACTAAGAAATGCTAAAAAAAAAAGGAAAAAAAAGTGTGTTAGCTAGTGTTATGTCAACATGACACAAGCTAGAGTCATTTTGGAAGAGGGAAGAGACACTAAGAAATGCCCCTACCACATTAGCCTATTGGCAAGCCTGTGATGTATTTTATGATTGACAACTGAAGTGGGAGGGCCCAGCTCACTGTGGGTGGTGCCAGTCCCAGGGCAGGTGGTCCTGAGTTCTATAAGCAGGTTGAGCAAGCCACCAGGAGCAAGCCAGTAAGCAGCATTCTTCCATGGCCTCTGCTTCAGCTCCTGCTTCCAGGTTCCTGCTTTGAGATACTGCCCCATTTCCCTGGATGAACTACAAACTGTGAGCTGGAGTAAACCTTTTCCATGCTGCTTTTGGTCACAGAAATAGGAAACCTAACTAAGACAGAGAGGTGGGGACCTAGCTCAGCAATAAGGAGCTTGCCTCAGATTCTTCATGCCCTAGGTTCACTCCCTAATACTGAAAAGAATACAAAGTATAAATAAATATATAAAATGGAATAAGAAGTGGCCAATGCCAGATCCCAGGTTTACATGTTATGATCCCAGCCCATGGGAGAAATTAACGTCTTGTGTGTAGTCCCCAATATTTAGAAGAAAGTCTCCAGTTCTCTAGCTTTGTGGGGTCAGGTGACATCCCTGCCATAACCAGAGAACTGATCACTTTCTGCAAGAAGCCAGCACCTACCTTAGTGTAAAAGGCAGTTTAAGGGGTCCATTGTGGGCTACACGACCCCCTAGAATGCCTCCATCACACAAGTCCTTCGATCTCTCTTGATTGAAACGTTAGTGCCAGGACTACCCACACATTCTATCTCAGAAAGGGAGTAGTCTGCATTTCCAGCTGTCACATTGAACAAAGATTTTTCAACTGCAAGAGCTGAAACAAACCTCTGGATTAGCTTTATGTATCCAGAAAATTAAATTAACCAAAGCATTGGCCCCTGAGGCAGCTGGAGAATCAGTTTCATTTTGTAAATCCAGATCTCCAAAAAGCAAAAAGCACACTGTGAATTGAGCCCTGGGACTCCCTCCCAATCCCTTAAGCTTTCTAAAATCATTATTTATTACACAGATAAAATAATTTACCTGGGGCTAGTTCACGGTGGAACGGTACCGCAGTGCTCGGTCATTTTCTTAGAATAAAGCACCGTTCTTCTTAAAGACAACACAATAGTCTGTAAGGCAAATATATGTGGGGTAATTTATCACCTTCCCTACTGTCAGGGAGGCTCCCCTAACAAGTAGGTCATGGGCTCAAGGTCAGATGATGGAGACCTTGAGTTGCAGAGGGAACCGAGCCAGCCAGGTGTTAAGTTTCAAAGCATAGTCTTGGAAACTAGGAGGCAGGAAAGGGGCTTCTCGTGTATAAAATTCCTTGGGAAGGATTTCCGGTCTTGTAAGAGCACTTAGGCAGCCAGATCACGGCACCACACGTGTCCATGCTGAATAAATAAACGCACCTCAGAACATCTGCTTCCTGGATTTGGAACTTATTATTGACTTAATCCCATAGTTTGGTCCCCCGGGGTGGGCTTTCATTAATTAAAAGCTGAACTCCATATTCTTCCACCACGGAATTTTCAAAACATCAAAGTACACAATGAAGTTTCTAGAATCACTTTGATTTTTATCCTCTCCCCCATAGCCCCCACTCCCGCCCGCAAGGCATTCAGCATTGCAGGAGGCCAGAGGTCATTGGGAGAGGAGGGACCCAGAAGCAACAGGTTGAAACTAGAAGAGCAGTGGGCAGGCTCCTGGCAAGTGGCTTTAAAGAGAAAAAGTTTCTGGAACCCTCCATGGAGCCTGGCTAGGACCTTGGCAGCTGGGGAGGAGGCCGATAAGATAAAATCACATTCCAAGCATGCATGCCATTCCTGAAGGAGGGTAACTCTGCTTGGCAAAGCCAGGTTCAAAGAGGAGACTGCATCCTGTCTGGATGAGAGATCGCTGAGAGCTAGGGGACCGCTAAAGCCAATGTCTTTATGGATTCTCCACCAAAAAGGGGGAAAAAATAAATCAGAAATTATGTAAAGACTGCAAAACACACACACACACACACACACACACACACACACACACACACACACACAACTGCTGCTGAAAGCAAATGGAGAGGTTGGAGAGATGGCTCCCTGGTTAAGAGCACTTGCTCTTAGAGAGGACCCCAGCTGGTTTCCAGGTGCTTACAATGGTGGCTCACAACCAACCCTAAGCCCAGCTCTGAGGGATCTGGTGCCCTCTTCTGGCCCCTGCCGGCACTGTACACACATGTCCACTTACACATGCACACAAATATATACATGCATACAGGGCTGGAGAGATGGCTTAGTGGTTAGGAGAACTGGCCGTTCTTTCAGACGATCCAGGTTTAATCCCAGCACCCATATGGCAGCTCAAAGCCACCAGTTCCAAGGGATCTGACTTCCTCTTCTGGTCTCCGAGAGTACCAAGGAGGAACATACGTGCAAGCAGACACAATTTTTTTTTTTTTAAATCACACTCATAAAATAAATCTTAAAAGAAAATGACTGTGCATCAGCAGGCTCTGAGGGGTCCCAGAGCATCCTGTCACAGCAGAGGCCTGTGTGGAATGCCTTCCTCTTGATGGTTGAGGGGCGAAGCAAAGAGCACCATTCCCAGATGATGCTAATTTTGTAAGATGTAGTGTCTAGGTGACCTTGAAGATCCACAGCCCCATGGTGTCACCAGATGGCCGGCCACATGCCTGGGCCTAAAGAAAGTTCTGTAGGAACTAAGAGTGGGCCTAGGAGAAAGATCTGCAGTCATAAGGGAGACTTCATCTGACTTCCAAGCAGGGAAAAGTCAAGGGGTCCATTCTGTTCTTGGAGACATTGCCGCCTGAATTTGCATCTCCTAGAAGACTCTTAAAAACCAGGTCCTCTTTTGGAGACTGGGTGCTTCATTCAGGAAATTTCCAGAACAATTTCTCTGGGCAGGAAGTGCCTGTGGCAAAGAGTTTGCCTCTGGCCAGGCTTCACTGTTTGCAGCAGACTGATAAAACAGGAGATCTAATCCAGACATTTTAAGTAGCTGGAAAGGATGTCACATACAATAGGACTCAGGACCTGACTTTCCAAAACTGAAGATAAAAGATTCAACTGGTCCCACTGAGGCTGGGCCTCTGGGGATCAGGGCTTTTGTTCAGGGGTGGGGCTGGATGAAGCCGGCAGTTACTGAGGGAAAAGGAAGAGTGAATATGACCCACACTCCCAAGGAAGCAGATGGGGACTAGGGCTTCACAGTCGGGAGGTGATGAGGCCCCAGGGTTCAAGTGGCAACCAGAAGGGTGGCTCACCTGCCAATCAGCCCCAGACAATGGAGGCTCTGCAGAGGTGTCAGCCTGGGTGCCTCGATCAGCTACTCAAACTATGGGACCCAATGTATGTCTCTTTCCTGTTCCCTCTTCCTGTGTTAATGACTGCTTGCTTGCCCAGGGGCATTGCTCATCCATGAACGATACTTCTACTACTAGACCTCTGAGAGTCTTCCTAACTTTTCCTTCTTTTAACCAAATTTTGAAGGATACATATTTGGGAGCCCCAGTGCCCTGAATAGCATGCACTGTACACAAGAAATGTGAGCACAGGAGCTAAGCTCTCAGGAACTCAGTCCAGTGACACCAGAGGTGCAGTTCCTTCTCCTACCATGGGGTGGCGACGTTTCAAATCCAGTATCTCATCAGAGGCCTCTGGACACTGAAGATGCTAAGATCTGCATTTGGGCCCCATAGCTTGTTGGGAATAAGGAGCTAGACCCTCTTCTAGGCAATGTTTCTTTCTTCTCTTTCTTTCTGTTGTTTTCATTGGTTGCTGTTTTGTTTGCTTTTTGAGACAAAATCTCACTCAGCTACTCAGGCTGGCCTTGACCCCACTAAGGATAACGCTTGATCCTTCTGCCTCCACCTCCCAAATGTTGAGAGTAGAGAGAGGTATCTGCTGCCACGACACCCAGATATCTAAGCAACATTTCCAGTTTCCCAGAAACTGCCCAGGAATTTTCATTTTTAACGACTCCTTTAAGTGATTTCTAAATAAAATCAGTATCCAATGAGAGAATTAAGCAGCACCCACACACACCTCAAGGGTGAGGATTTTATGAAAGTGAACAGCTTTCAACTCCAAATAGCAGTGGGAGTGGGCGGTTGGAGGAGGGGCAGCTGGTGATGATGAGAAACGGGTGGTCTCCATGGAGAAGGTGACATTTGTCAAACAGTGCTTTAAGCAAAAGAAACTTGCCACCGAGTAAGTCCGATCCAAAAGAGAAGACAGCGGAAATCAGTTACGGCCCCACCCTACACTCTCTCCCCTCAAACACATTCCTACCACGCCTCTCCTCACATAGTTGGGATCTATTTAGAGGAAGACTCTCAGGAGAACGGGGAGATTTTACAGGTCTTGATGCGTTTAGAAATAACAGATTCATTATGTTATCATCTGTCACCAGGATCCGTAAACTCTTCCCCTAACCCTCTGTAGGCAGAATACCTCCCCACTGATGTCCCCACCACGGTCCCCAAGACCTGTGAATATGTGATGTCTCATGGCAAAAGGAGTTTTGTGAATGGAGTTGAGATGACAGAATTTAAAATAGGGAGGAGAGCCTCGATTACATGGATGAGCCTAACATGGTCACATGAGCCCTTAAAGGCAGAGAGCCTTTCTAGCTACAGTCCTGAGACACTGAAGATAAAAGTGTAGCGGGGCACAGAACATGAGAGAAACTCACCCACTGCTGCTGGAGGGAACCCTGGGAAAGGGGGAAGGAGCATGAGCAGCCAACAGGAAACACACTTAAGGGAATGGGGTTCCTCCTTGACACCCACAAAGCTGCTGTGCTTGGCTTCCAGGATACTATGAGAGGGAAAGTGATGCTTTTCAACCCCATATTTGTGATGTTTGTTGTCATGTGTCCTGGGGCTGAACAAGGGAAGCCTAAAGTTCACACTTGATACCTGCACAACCTGGTAGCCTCACCTAAAATACTGACATTAAAACAAACTTGTGGGTGGTCACATGACCAGGCCATCGCTCCACGAGTATGTGCAGCTCAAACTGCAGGACCACAGAGACTAAAGAATTCACTCCACGAGTATGTGCAGCTCAAACTGCAGGACCACAGAGACTAAAGAATTCCCATGGTGCTTCTGGGAAAGGCCACAAGTTGAATGAATCAGCCAAATCAGCAGAGCAGATGTTTCCAATTCAGACTGTAGTTTGTTTTAGGGAGGGCTGATAGAGACTATGCCGTCAGCTCCAAATCCAGCCTTTTACCCCCAGAAACTGAGGCCTTTGTCCTTGTTGGCTCATGGTGGCAATTGCCCATTTCCTGGTCATTGCCTACAGCGTTCAGTGTATGGCTTCGTTAGCAGGATGGGTTTGGATCTGAGCTCTAATGTCAGCTGGACAACATAACCAAGTCTTTTAACTTGGGGTCCTCACTTGTCAACTATGGTGATGGTGCAACAGCCTCCCACACACCTGAAGTTTTTCTTTCTGAGGTTTCAGTGAACCATGGTTGGCTGACATTCAAAAGTACTAAATGGAAAACTCTAGAACTAAAGACTTCCTAGGATTTCAGTTGTGTGCTCCTCTCAGTTGTGTGATGAAATCTCACTTCTAACTCATTCGTCGCTCACAGGACGTGGCTTCAACCACTGCCCACCTTTAATCACCCAACAGTGGTCTCAGGTGTCAGGTCCCTTGTCATGGCCTCACAGTGCTACGTTTGACTGAGGGGTGATTCTGGGGGAACCCCCAGGCTCATGACCCAGGCTCTTTTACGTGACTCCAGGACCATCTTATCCTAGCAGTTCCTTGGATCATCCTTCTAGAATAGATAAACTTTGACCTGGACTCCAAACACCAAATATAGCATCTAGCTCTCAACTGTCCCCTTTTCCAATTAAAATGGAGGTTTTCAAGCTGGACAGTGGTGACAACATGACTTTTATCCCAGCTTTCGGGAGGCAGAGACAGGTGGGTCTTTGTGAGTTTGAGGCCAGTCTGGTCTACAGAACAAGTTCCAGGATGGTGAGGGCTACACAGAGAAACCCTGTCCTAAAAATGAGAGAGAGAGAGAGAGAGAGAGAGAGAGAGAGAGAGAGAGA